CCACCCACGTATCTCCAGCGCTTACCTTTGTCAGGTACCCAAATAAACACCTGCCCAGCACTTCCTTTGTACAACTCAAAGTTACCTCAGAGCCTGAGGGTGTGGGAGCCATTCAGCGGTAGAGCACTTGCCTAGCATACATGAGGCCCCCAGATTCCATCCCCAGCATCACACACACACACACACACACACACACACACACACACACACACACACACACACACACTCAGGCATGCTGGTATGTCTGTAATCCTCAGGAGGCTAAGGCAGGGGGGATTCCTATGAGTTCAAGACCTGTCTAGGCTACATAACAAAATTTAAGGCAGCCTGAAGTACAGCATGATGCTTTATCAAAACAAAATATCCGAGTGACGGCGTTGGCAGTGGACTCCTTTAGTCCCAGCACTCAGGAGGCAGAGGCAGGTGGATCTCTGTGAGTTCGAGGTCAGCCTGGTCTACAGAGTGAGTTCCAGGACAGCTAGGGCTACACAGGGAAATTCTGTCCCCAAAATAAATACATAAATAAAAAAAAATAAACAACATACCTCTATAGGAAGTGATACTTCAGTTTTCTCCCTCCCTCACAGCTGATGAGGAATTCCTGGGTGCTCTCCCCTTCAACATACCCGGAGTCTCCATTTATATAAAGGGCAAAAACAGGACACAAGGTCCCACATAGCCCAGGCTAGCCTCCAACTATACAGCCAGGGATAACCTAAAGCTCCAGATCGTCCCGTCTCCACCTCCCCGGTGCTGGGTTTATGGACAGGAGCCATCCCTGAAGGCTTAGTGTTCTAATTCTTTCTTCTCTTTTTATATGCATTTATTCCGAGCACAAAAGCTGTGGAGGAGTTGGCTTCCTCTCTGTACTATGCAGGTTCAGGGAAAGGAAGACGGGTTGTCAGAAAGTGTCCCCACCTATGGCAAAACCTCGACAGCTTAGTTGTCTATTTCTTGATATAACTGGGGATTTTGAGACGGAGCCTGGAGCTCACGGTAACCTTCCTGCCTCATTGTCCCAAGCCCTGGGTTTACTGTAACTATGCATCTTCAAAACAGGCCTTTGTGGGCTGGAGAGATGGCTCGGTGGTTAAGAGCACTGCCTGCTCTTTCCGAAGTCGTGAGTTCAATTCCCAGCAGCCACATGGTGGCTCACAATCATCCGCAATGAGATCTGGCGCCCTCTTCTGGTGTGCAGACAGAACACCGTATACATAATAAATAAATAAATCTTTAAAAAATAGAAAAACAGGCCTTCGTGTGCTTTTTTTTTTAAATGCCTCCCCTTAGGTTACCACTAGATACGCTGGGGGTGGGCACTTGCCAATTTGTGCCCTCCTCTTTCTGTCTCTCTCGTTTAGAGACAGAATCTATGTAGCCCTGGCTGTCCTGGGACTCAGTCTATAGACCACAGCGACC